GCAAGCTGCAAGGAGATCCGGATCAACGGTGCCACCCAGGAGCTCGAACAGGTCAATCGAGCATACATGACCTCCTGTTCAAGCTCTGACAAAGCTTGAGCTTCTGCCGCCAAACTCGACCTGGCCACTCGCTGTAGCTTCGTTGATTTCCAGCTCACCAGATTGATTTGTCCCTCACCTGGTTCGTAAGTCCTAGGAGCGAGCCTCCCGTAGATCCTCCTCCAGGTGTTGGCCAGCGCCGCATCACTGAAGCCGATGAAGCACAGCTCGTCCGGCTTTCCCCCGAGGTTCTGGACCTTAACAGACACATGTCGGGAGGCATGGATCTCTCGCACCAGCTCGTTGATCTGCTCAATCAAATTGCTGTCTCGTATACTCAACGTGGTGTGGGGCTGACTGAGTCACCCGCCATTGAGCTGCGCCCAAATTTGCTCGGGCTTGGGACTCTTCCATGTCCGTGAGAGGTCCTTCGGCTCCCTTAGGATGGGGAGTCATCTGGGATATTCCTTATAATAATCATCAACCGTATGCCCTAAACCTTTCACCTAACACCTTGAAGACTTGACCCTTAAACAAAGCCGTGATACAGAAGTCTCAATAAATATACGGTTGATGATGTAAATCCTGCATTTCCCATAATAAGGAATATGCCATAATTCCCGTGGTTTAGGGTCCTTAAAGTAATGCAGGATGAATATCATCAACCGTAGCCACCGTATACCCTATATCGCCTGTATAGTCAGACCTAGGGCCTAGGGCCAACAACATACCACAGACCCCTGTTCTGATTAGGGTTTAGGGTTTAGGGTTTAGGGTTTATTGAGGCCCAGGGCCTTCAAAATTAGAAAGTTCTGGGGTATTACAAACCATATAATTAGAAGGAGGAGTCCCGAAATACGGTTGATGATATAGGACCCTAAACTATGGGAGGTAGGGTATATAGCTTCTTAATGGGCAATGCAGGATTTAGATCAGCAACCGCCGTGCTGGTAACTATTACTTGCTCCCCAAAAAGCCAGGCAAATAAAGGTTTAACTTTCAGATCTCTACTGAAGTATAAGAACCCCAAAAGTTCAAAGGTTGGGTATTGGAGAACTAAGAAACCCTACACCCTGAAACCTCTGAGCCCTAAACCCCTAGTGGAGAACCAAGCAGGGGTTAAGAAGGGTCCCCCTGAAGGGGTCTCCTTAATACTACCTAGGATAAGGCACCCTTATATGTAGTTTCCTTTAAAGTAAGGTTCCTATATAAAAAACCATCACTAAACCCTAAACCCTGAACCCTAAACCCTAAAACCCTAAACCCTAAACCCTAAAACCCTAAAACCATAAACCCTAAAACCCTAAGCCCTAAACCCTAAACCCAAACCCTAAAACCCTAAAACCCTAAAACCCTAAACCCTAAACCCTAGAACCCTAAAGCCCTAAAACCCAAAACCCTAAAACCCTAGTAGCAAGGCTCCCTATATGAAAGCATCTCGCGGGGGCCTCCTGGAAGTGTGCCATGGCCTCCTGGTCTTCAACAACGATGATGCGCTCGGGATTAGGGCTAAGGGTTTGGGTTTTTAGGGTTTAGGGTTTAGGGTTTAGGGTTTAGGGTTTAGGGTCCCTACCTTTGGTTAGTAGGGAATGGAAGAATGGTAGTAATGGTACTTATAATAGTTCCCATTCCTCCATTCCCTACTACTAATTCCCTACTAACCAAAGGTAAGATTCAGGTGCAGGGCCAAGGGTTTGGGTTTAGGGTTTAGGGTTTAGGGTGCAGGGCTAAGGGTTGCGAGGCTTTCGGGATTTAAGGTTTAGGGGTTTAGTGTCTCGGGATTAATTAAGATTTGCGGCTTGGGGCTTGGGGCCCTAAACCCTAAACCCTAAACTTTAAACCCTAAGGCTGAGGCGTAGAGTTTCAGGGACTAAGGTTTGTAAGGCGCCTGCGAGGCTTCTGTTGTTAGAATACAGCTTTGGGACCCCTTTTATACTGTCATTTAGGGTTTAGGGTTGTTGCTATAGGCATAATAAGGAACCCCCCAAAAAAATAGTATGGGCAATTATTTAGGCCCCTACATTACCCCTGAAGCTCCAAACACTAAACCCCCAGAAACCTGCTCCAGCCCTGAGACCTGATGAGAGGACGTTCCATGCTTTGAGGGTTTTTGGTGCCTTTATCTGGGGTTGAAGCTTACCTAAACCCTAAACCCTAAACCCTGAACCCTGAACCCTAAACCCTAAACCCTGAACCCTAAACCCTAAACCCTAAACCCTAAGCCCAAAACCCTTTAGGGGTCATCAGGGCTTCTGGCTTCTGGCTCGAGGTTTCAGGGGGGGGTTAGGGGGTTGAGGGGTTTAGAATTTAGGTGTTCGAGTTCGTGGCTCATGGTTCAGGGTTTATGGTCGACGGAGGAGCCTCGCAAATGTGTTAGGAGTAGGGGTCTAGGTTCGCTATTCACCAAAAGCCTATTCTAATTATCAAGGCACGTAAATTACTCTGATCTTTGAGCTAATTGGTTGGTTTGGGGCGGTCTAGTTTTGACCAGGCAATCCCATGTTGAAGCGGTACTGTCAGAACTTATCGTAGGCGTCCGTCCCTGTATGGTTCACGGTATCTTACTGAAACCCTAAACCCCTAAACCCCTAAACCCTAAACCATAAACCCAGACTTACTGAACGGAGGTGTAACTCTTACGCTTTCGGGCGGCGCTGTCTGACGATGGCCCCCACGGTACCCGAGGCAAAGCGTCCGAGAGAGGTCCGAGAGCTCTGAAGCAGAAAGACCCTAAACCCTGAACCCTGAACCCTGAACCCTAAACCCTAAACCCTAGAACCTTAAAACCCTAAACCTTAAAACCCTAAACCCTAAAACCCTAAATCCTAAAACCCTAAAGCCCTAAAGCCCTAAACCCTAAACCCTGAAAACGCAAGTTACACTGCAACCCGAAGGTCAAGGGCCAAAAGCCTACAGACCAAAACCATAGGCGCGACACCCGCGAAGAAAAAACGCACCCTGACAGCGGTATAGGAGCCTACATCACCAGAGTGGAGCTGCGGACTTTTGATGCATAAGCTACACAAAGGGGGTTCAATCCCAAAACAAACTACACCAGGCTCCACACCTATACCCTCAGCCTCCCAAGCCCTAAACCCTAAACCCTAAACCCTAATCCCTAATCCCTAAACCCTAAACCCTAATCCCTAAACCCTAACCCCTAAACCCTAGTCCCTGGAGCCCAAACTCCTAACCCTGGCGAAGCCAGCTAAGCGCTTTGCTTTTGTTGTTTTTTGTTTCACGTGCAGCCTTCGCTGGCAGATTCACAGTGAACCTATCCGTCTAAACGACTCAAGGTTCTAAACCCTAAACCCTAAACAGGGTTTTGCGCAGTATAAAAAGCCTCTACGTTACCCAGAGAACCCAGTACCCCTTAATTAAGGAATATACCTTAAATCATAATGCTAAGGCCCCTATAATTTAAGGTACATTCCTTAATGGGGTTATAAGTAGTGTAACTATAGTTATAACCTATATAAGGGTCTTATAACTCCTCTTATAACTACCCATGAACCTACAAGTATACACACACAAAACCAGGAAAGACAACTCTGGCCCCCTTAATTCACGTACCTAGGAAACCCGTAGGTCATAGGCGTTTAGACGTTCAACATATATGTTCCACTAAGGGAGAAAGATAGCAGCTTAACGTCACCCATAGTTCAAGAATACCACGACACGCAAATCCCTAACAGGTGCTTACTCCAGTATACCTGTCTTAAGGGACGCTGAGGAAAAATGTTGGCAGTTGTTCACTTTATACACTAAGCCCTACAAAGCTTGCAGCCATATGGACACCCGTATAGCTGCCTCGCTGATTCTTCCAGCAACAGTGTATCAGCAAGGAAGGGTGCACCGAGAATCCGCGAGAACAAAAGCTTGGATGTGGCGACGCTACTGTACAGGCTCGCCGGTTGTGGAGGCTTTGCGCTGCAGCTTCTGCGCTTCGGGCAAGACAGTACTAGTCAGAACGGCTCCTCTTAGAGGGATCCTCACTCTTGATACAGAGGGACGGAAGGTCATAAACCCTCAACCAAAAACCCATACCATGGAACACTACGGAATAATGCCTACTAGGAACTCAAGCCCCTACTTCAGCTCCTAAAGCCCAACCAAATGCCCCCCATGTTGGGTGGAATTTCGAAGCGTTTTGATCTGAATAGTCGGGTTCTACATGCGTCCTTCCGATCCTGTACTATAGGGGCCTTAACAAGTAGTAAAAGGTATTGGGGCACCTCAAAAAGTATAGTTATAACAGGAACCTCAGGAATATTCTAGGAATACTTGCCTCCCCTCGCTTGCACATTAAGGCCAGGGTGTTGTACGAATCATGCCGATGAGAATTCGGACCCCTGCATGAGAACTGCAGCCTGCAAGCCCTCACGTTGTACGGTACTGGCAGTTGTTCAACAGCTTTGGCCCAAACTGGCCAGAAGGTAGATTCCCTACAGTTGACGGACGGAACCCTGCACTGCCCATCGGAAAGAGTATACCATTAGTCAATACCAACACACAACACCTCAAGCCCCCAATATCTGCGCCAAAAAGGCCCAGCTGCGAAAAGCCAAGGTAATGCAGGGATTCGGCCATCAACACTACACCCTAGACATGCAGCCTGACAGATGCAGAGTGGCGGCCTGGTCTGTGGTCGTCGAAATGGGAAGGGCTACAAATCAGGGTCTTAGAGTATGTATTGGTAAACATAAGTATTACGCGGGGAGGAGCAAGCCAAGAACAGAAGCGAGGGCAAGAGCAAGAGAGAATTAGCAGGAGCAGGAGCAAATCCCAGAGCAGGAGCACGAAAGTGAGAGTAGAGATGAAACCATCATTAAAAACAAAAACACTTTCCGAGTTTCTATTGGTGTGTGGGGAAGCGGTTACCATCCTTTATACAGCACTGAATTGAAACCTCATATACCAACCCTGAACACCTACTTCGCCGCCCTGCTTCGGCGAGCTTCTCAGCCGAAGCGGGTGTGGAACGACCTCTCCAGGCTCTGCACGGATTTCCTCACGGAGGCTACGTCATCCCGCAGATCTTTCACACGATGCCTGGCTTCAGGATAGGGTTTAGGGGTTTAGGGTTTAGGGTTTAGGGGTTAGGGTTTCGGTTTTAGGGGTTAGACTGAGGGTTCGGGGTTCGGAGTACTGGATATCAGTGACTGGGTAGCTTAACAGCCCTACTCAGCTTCGCGCACAGAACGCCAGAATGCAAGCCTTTAGCCAACTATATTATACGGATTCCTTCGTACCAACTTAAGGTTTAGTTCTGGCATGATTAAGGTCGGGGCATTGGGTCAAGCCTAGTGTTTGATGCGTAGGGTTTGCGTGTCAGGCTGTGTGGGAGTAGGTAGTATAGCACGGTAAGGCATGAGATTCCCTGATTTTTTCCCAGGGGTTCTTGCACGGGATCTGTCGGGTGTGGGGTACGTACAACGCCTGAATCATGTTGTTTGGGTTAAATACGAGGGACCAGGGCAACTCATCGATTAGGTTTCCAGGCATAGCTGGGCTGTTCTTGTGAGCCCGTTAAAGTTAACCTTGGTCAGAACATACTATACTGCACTGAAAACTCACGTTAAGGGTTTAGGGGTTACATAGGGAGTTAGGGAGACTGACAAGACCCGAAATAACTTGACCCTTTTTCCTGTAGTTGCAGGGACAAAATAGGGGATAGAATGCTGCTGCCCCCCACCGCGGTGTCTCGTAAGCCGGGAATCATTTTCCCTAAAACCCCCCAAACCCCAAACCCGGGCCTCATGATTCTGTTGTCCAGGTCCATCTTCGCCAGTTGCAAGCCTTTGGCATTGCCCCGCAGCTGCATGCAGCCAACCACAAACTCTTCCAAATCCTGGGCAACTAGATGTGTTCGGGTTTAGGGTACAGTGCTTTGGGGTTTCAGGGTTTTCGGGTTCAGGGTCTAGGGCTAGGACGGTTGTCACAGTGCCAGTACGTGTCACAGCGTGTTTCAGGCAGGAAACCTCTCTCTCTCTCACACACACACACACTCACTCTCACGCAAACAACAGCAACATACCCTTTTTGGAGCATGGTACAAAGTATCGCCTAGCTGTATTCAGAAACTCTACATGGAGGTTCAACCTTCAATGTAAGGTTTTGCCTTCTCAGAGACGTAGAAAACGGGAGGGGGGGGTAGGGTTTGGGGTTTAGAGTTTAGGGTTTAGGGTTTAAGGTTTGGGTTTAGGGTTTAGGGTTTACGGTTTAGGGAGTACCAGCCACCAAATCTAGTCGGATCCTAATTTGAGGCCCTCCTCACCATAAAGGGGCCCGGCATGAAAAGGAACCTCCAATTGCCTCCTACAGCCCTTAGAAACCGCTATAGCACTGTGAAAATGCAAACCCTCATACAACCCTGATCAGCTGCTGTAAGGCCTTAAATATACCCTTATAAGTTCATATTAAACAGACCGACAAGGCCCGAAAACCTCAAATGCAAGTTTACATTCATCTCAACAGTTATAAGATCTACAAGAATCGGTTTTGCAAGGGAGCAGAAGACGGATTAGGGGGATTTTTTGGGATATAGACCCTCCCAAAAAAAGTCCCTTTCATTTAAGAGACCCATAAGTAGGATCAAGAAGGGTCCCCTTTAAGGGGTCTCCCGAATGCTACCTAGGATAAACCCTAAACCCGCTAAGGACCTCAACACCCTACGCTTTGGGCCTGAAACCCTCAACCCTAAGCCTCAACACCCCAAACCCTGAATTTAAACACAATGGGGTTCCTAGGGTTTAGGGTTTAGGGTTTAAGGTTTAGGGTTTAGGGCTTCCCCAAGTAGTTAGGGGAATCAAAGGTTAAACGTTCAGATTACCACTAAGTCAGAAGAACCTAGCAAGTTTCAAGGCTAACCTTAGTTGCTGAGTTCATAAGCACAAAGAAGTGTACACTTTCAGTTCTATAAGGGATCATCTTATCCCAAAAAGTTTAAAGTGTACTCATTCAGCTACTAAGTAACTAAGAAACCCTAAACCCTGAAACCTCCGAGCCCTACTCTCTCTCAACTTAGTTTCTGAGTTCATAAGCCCCAAAAAGTGTACACTTTCAGTTTTATAGGGGGTATATTATCCCAACAAGCTTAAAGTGCAGCCATTCATCTACTAAGTTAATCCTACACACTAAGCCCAGAACCCTAAACTCTCAATCCAAAAGCCTTAACAGAATGTCAGTTCAGGGGTCCAGGGTGTCGTTGTGATCTATTTTGGGGGCTCCTCAGTGTAATTATAGTATTATTAAGGCCCCTACGTTACACACTAAGCCCAGAACCCTAACGTCTAAGTCCTAAGCCTTAGCAGAATGTCAGTTCAGGGATGTTTCTTAGTGTAATCACAGCATTATTAAGGCCCCTACACTACACACCAAGCCCAGAACCCTAAACTCTCAATCCTAAGCTTTAACACAATGCCAGTTCAGGGATCCAGGGTGTCGTTGTGATCTCTGTCGATCAGCCGAAAGAGCAGCGAGACGTTGTCAGTGGAAATGCCCAAGGACTCCAGGGCGACTTTGATCCTCGGGAGGTTTCCCAGACCCCCGGGAGGATCCACAAAGTAGATCCCTTAAAGGGGGTTCCTATAAAGTACCCTTTAGTAGTTGGGGTCCCCAAATTAAGGGATCTACTTTTTAGATCCTCCCGGGGGTCTGGGTTTGGGGGGTGAAGACAGAGAGGGCCGTAAGCCACAAACCCCAGACACCTGTGTAGGGCCCCACAAAACATGCGAAAATAAACCCTAAACCCCAAAACCCCAAACCGCAAACCCCTAAACCCCCAAACCCCCCTATAACCCAAAATCCTAAACCCGACAAAACCCTCACCAACCTTGAAAGGTGCCGCTCTGGGGGAAGAAACGCTCGAACAAATGCGGGCCAAGCATCTCTGAGCCTCCCGCTGCTGCAGTCTGCAGCTCCTAGACCCAGACCCCCCGGGAGGATCCAAAAAGTAGATCCCTTAAAGGGGGTTCCTATAAAGTAACCTTTAATCCCAGACCCCCGAGAGCATCTAAAAAGTAGATCCCCTAATTCGGGGACCCTAACTACTAAAGGGTACTTTATAAGGCATCTACTTTTTGGATCCTCCCGAGGTCTGGGGAGGGGTTTAGGGGGGAGGTTCGGGTTTAGGACTTTAGGACTTGAGGGGCTTTATAGGGGTTCCTTTTGTGGGATCTATAAGGGTTCCCTAAGGGGTCTGTACAGGGGTTTGGGGGTTCGGGTTTAGGGCTTTAGGGCTTCAGGGTTTAGGGGTCTAAGGGTAAGGGTCCAGTGTTTAACAGGGCCTCCTATTTGGTGGTTCTTTAGGGGGTTTGTGTTCGCGGCTCCCGGCCTTCCCGCTTTAGGAGTCGGATCTAAAAAGTAGATCCCCCAATTTTGGGACCCTAATTACTGAAGGGTACTTCATAGGAAACCGTTAAGGGATCTACTTTTTGGATCCTCAACTTAGGGGCCGAGTAACTTAGCCCAAAAAAGGTTAACCTTTCAATTCTGGCAAGATGATATAACCCTGAACCCTAAACCCCTAAACCCTAAAGCCCAAAAAGGTTAAAGGTTACCTACCCAGCCCCTCAGTCACGGGGGTCTGGAGGATCAGGTTTAGGGTTTGGGCTTTTGGGTCTAGGGTTCAGGGTCTAGGGTTTAAGGTTTATGGTTTAGGGTCTAGGGTTTAGTGCTTAGGGTTCAGGGTAGTAGGTAAGGCTGTCTTTGTTCTCAGCCACAAACGCGAGGCCTAGTTCTAGTTACCTTACGTCGTACAGCCCTACTTGCTCGGTCCAAGCAACATCCTCGACCATCAGTCGTAAACCAGACCCCCGCCACCTCAACACCTTGCACCCTAAACCCTCAAGCTTGGAGGCTGCCCCCACCTCAGCAACAGTTGAGTAATATCCATTATATATATATATACACACACACATATATATATATATATATCTATATATATATATATAGATAAGGCCCTT